TTTTTTTTTTTCAAATTCATTTTTTTTTTTTTCAAATTCATTTTCAAACACATATTTTGAGCTCTCTTTTAAATCCCATTTTTTGAAAAAAAAAAATGCATTCTTAAACAGTGTTTTGACCTCATTTTAACCATACATTCTTTGACAAAATAATATTACATGTAAATCCAAATTTTTTCCTTATTTTTTAACCATACAAAACTCATTAATACACTATTCAAAAATGAAGCTCAAACAAGTCCTTAATAAAATAATTTTATATATAAGCCCAAAAATTTACTTTTAACCACATATTCTTCAAAGAAATTATTTTCACAAAATAAATTCTAAGAAATCTCTACCAAACATAAGAGACTAAAATTCCAACGTATTATACGATTTATTTTAAAATGTCCAACTAAGCTTGATCATTGAATTTAAAATCGTAAAAAGTAAAAAATTTGACAATCCAATTCGAATCAGTTGTCAAATTGGCTAGAAGTTGAGTTTTGATCGGTGCACTTATTCTGAATGTGTGCCCGTGACTCATAGGCAATGACTTCGTAAAGGGAACCTATAAGAGCAAAAGCGAGTCTTTATTAGGCCATTGTCACAACTTACAAACCCGAACTTCAGTGTTTAGGGATGAAGCTTGGGTGGATTAGGCAACTAAGAAGAAATGTGCCTTTTTAAATTTCCCAACATATTTGAAATGTATCAAGTGAGTCCTTTAATGCTTTTTGAGGCATAATCTCCTCAACCTTTCAAAGAAAAGACTCCTTCAGCCCCCATTCTCTATCTCGGTCAAGCCCGCTTTGGTTTATATTAATAGGTTACTAGGATTTGAAAACTGTAAATGAATAATTCATTATTCTTGCTAACACAAGAAATGAAAACCTCAATCATCATTCTTGTTCTCTGTGTGGATTATCGTTGGAGGCTGGACAATTGGACAGTTGAAATTGTAGATCGTGATCATTCGAATTCAAGAAAAGTAAAAGAGTTTGTGAAATTTATCAAAGGTATAATTTTTATCACAGTTTCTATCTAAACACAATGTAAATCCTTTGTGCGAATTGAAAATTATTTTATTTTCCACTGTGCGTGATTAAGTAAATTTTCAACAGTGGTATCAGAGCCTACTTTGTGTTTGTTAGAAATTATTTTATATCTTGAACAATCAAACGTTCATTGGTTATATATTTTCTTGAATTTAACAATTTAGAAAATTATTTTTCATTTTTGAAATCTGTTTTGAAAAGTAAAATAATTGTTTTGTAAAAAATAATAATAATAATAAAATATATATATTGAAAATTGGACAGGACCGAAGCCGGCGACCACTGTCGCCGTCGACATGTGCCTAGGCGGTAAGGGCAACGCCCCAGCGGCGTTGGACGCCGCTGCGAGGTGAAGTAGCTCTCAACGCAATTCACAAAAGGAATGGCTTGTCATGCAATTTAAAAAGGAATGGCTTGTCGTGCAATTTACATAATTAAAGGGCCTATTAAACCAAGGGTCAATTTGCAATTTTCGAAAGATTTTTGAATTTAACTTTTAAAATGGTTTTAAATTTAATTTTCAAATGGGTTTTGACTAAAATTTCAAGTTTGCCCCATTTAAAATTTTATTTAAAAAATTGACGACTTTTGTATTTTCGTTAAAATTGAATTTTAACTTAAATATTAAACTTTGACCCTAAATTGTATTTTATTTTATTTATGAATTTTATCCTAAATTAAAATGTTAAT